CCGCATATAAGTAGTATACAATAATTATTGATATAAAACGACTATTTCTGAATAACTTCTTAGTGTGCAAAATCTTAAGCCACCAAAAGGTGGTGCTAAAGATGACACCTAAAAAAGAATTAACAATGAACACTATGGTTCATGCTTCTAATATTTAAAAGTTTTAGTTTTCTTTCTTGTGGTTGAGCATGAACGAGTTTAAGTTAGTTTTTTAGTCTAACAAGTATATCTTCACCAAGAGTAGAATGGTTGTGGACAAGGTATATTTACATAATAAGCTATTAAGGTTAATGCTATGTTTGTTGAGCAGCAAGGCCCTATAAACATTTAAATATTTTAAAAGCAAAATTCAACATGAAGATCTAGGTGATAAGAAATGATTAAGGTGGGGAATATGATTCATCTTTTAACGAATTTTATTTTCAGAATGTTATGATCTCATGTAAAAACATAATATTAATATAAAATATGATGTAATATTGATAAGTTCAAAATTATATAATTAACTCAAAACTTATAGGGGTAAGCAATTTTATTATAAAATTATATTTTTAATAAAATAGCTCACAAAATTAGATAAGACAACATATGAGTCATGAAATAGTCAAAAACCTTCCTATAAATACATGAAAGTATAAGGGTATTTAGCCAAAAGTTATGGTTACTCCCACCAAATAAAGTAAAAGTATATATTGTATTATATGAGATATCCAATTGTACTTTAAGGGTATAGCAATGCTAATTGGATATTTGATACCAAAGATTTAAAATTCATAAGTGAGTTTGTTTTTACTGTTGAAGGGGCTGCAGTCTCTTAGAAATCCTCTAACTAAACATGCATATCCAAATCCTTGAAAGAGCTTGAGTTTATAATTTTAGAAAAAACTGAGAAACAAGTAGAGTGTCTTCTCAATTTTTTTTTAATGATATTTCAAGTTGGCTAAAACATGTGCCAATAATATGTATACATTATAATAACCAATCTAAAATTGGTAAGGCATGAAATAGTATACGTAACGATAAGTCTTAACACATTTGTCAAATATACAATACCGTAAAATAATTGCTTTTAAATGAGATTATCTCAATTGAATATATAAAGTGCTTAACAAGAAATCAAGTTGATAAATCATCAAGGAGAATATAATTAAAGCATATATTCAAAGAATTGCCATGATGGCAACCTAACCTAGTTGATTGGATATCCCAGCATTTAGGTTTAAAGGGACAACGTCAATTCAATAATAGCAGTTTTACCCAATTCCATGATGAAAAGTGATACCTACAGCGAAAATATGATAAATTAATCTATTAGTACTTCTTATAGCTTGAGAAAATATGATAAATTAATATATTAGTATTTCTTATAGCTTGAGAAATTCAAGTTGGGTATGTAAGATACTCTTAATAAGAATTACCTATTTGAGTGTAAAACGAGACCACTTCTATAATAATTGAAAAGACTAATTCTCTATACTACTCCCTAAAACCAGGACATGTTTGAAGCAAAAATGAACACAACTGTGAGAACCAATTGTAAGAAAAGAGCCATATGATTTCTATTGTTTGGTTCTACATAAAAAGCTGAATAGTTCAAGATATCATGTTCATTGGTTAACCAAGAGAATTAGATAGTTTTCATCAGGGAATGTTCAAAGTCAAAAGTTAACTCACCAAATATAACGACTTTCACTATTACTCTCAATTTTGGTGTCTGCTTTGTATTTTATTCTAATCAAATAATTTTTATTCATGTGGTGGATTGCTAGCGTGTAAATGAAAAATTATGTGTTAAAACTCTATTTGAAATAGAGTTATGTCATTTTAAACTATAAAGTTTTATCCTTTTATTTTAAAAAATGTGTTAAAATTAATTGTCAAAATTGCCCATGCAAAGAGACAATTTTGACATGGTTTAGGTAATGATAAAAAAAATTCTGCTCTTTTTAATTTTTTTTTGCATTTATTTTATCAAAATTCTTACAAAGAAAAATATGCAAACTTTGGTTCGCCGTTTATTCTTAGTTGTGCTACCAAGAATAATATATTGAGTATATCTGAGAAACAATATTGTAATCATAATCCGAGCACTAGTTAAGGTTAAAGAATTGATCATTGCTTCAACCTATTTTTTAAAGTTTATTTTTAGTCAACAAGTGCAGTAAGTTGATTTTTTATTTACATATTGATTAATATACATGTTTTATATTTTATAGAAACCAGGTCATTTAAAAAGAAAGAACATACAACAATATGAATTGTTTAAAGTATTACAACATGAGTTCCTTTATAATATCCAAGTAGAATATTTTATTTTGTCATTTAACAATTAAGTACTACAAAAAAACTTTTACTTCTATTAATTTACCTCTAATTTTTTAATACCACTAATAAGCTAAAATAATTAGTTAAAAATAAGAGTGTTGTTCAGTGTACACCCAAATTTAGATGCACTATAGACTTCATTTTTCATATAAACAATTCTTCTTGTTTTTTTTTTCACTTCAATTTAGCATCATTTCCTTGCAATCATGGTTTTATGTGTTGAGAGTTTATATCTCTTCATATGCTTTACATTTGAGAAATATTGATAAATATTTTGACATTAATTTATAGATTAAATTTTCAAAATAGAATCTTAAGTTGTAGTTATAACGGAAATTTGAGGAATAAGGACTAACATAAATTAAAAAAACAAAAGAAACCCCAATTTGAAAAAAAAATATGGTTTTTAGTACTTGATGTTTTAGAATTTTACACTTTGATCCTACATTTTATTTTTTTCACATTCAAGTCCTTGAGTGTTGAGAGAAAAGAGAAAAAATCATGAAAAATATTTAGGAGAGAGAAAATGCTTGAATGACCACATTTCAAACACTAAAAAAACTCACCCCTAGTGTCAAATTGTTTGTCTTTGAGAGAAGAATTCAATAAAAATATGTTTGCCTTTAACCATGCTAGAAAAAATTGATTAGGCCCATAAATATTTTTTATTCATTTAATTTTTGTTCTTTAGAGTGATTACCAGGTGTTTTGAGTTTGTAAATGAGTTTGCTGAAACTTATAACGTGTTTTTTAGACATTTTAAGTGATAACAAGTTGAAAATGGATTTTTAAGGTCCAAAAACATGAACATTGATTTCTAATGACCAGAAAATTATTTAGTGAATAACAAGTCATCTATTACAACATTTGACTTGTTATACATTAAAAAAATATAGACGACATGTTATCTGTTTTTTTTTTTTAAATCAACCAAGCATAAACCTTGGGTTGATGAGGTATATGCCCTTGACCTATTGCATTTTTAACTCTTTATTATTTTTATTTATTCATAATTTGAATTAATATCATCTCTTTTATATTTTAGATTGTTTAGTTTAATTTTTTTATACATAAAAAAATAGTAACATATACATGTGATGCTGACATAATATATAGAAATCTACCATGTACTTGTGGCTTTTTTTTTCATTAAAAATGATGTTCAAGTAGCTCATGCACCTTTTAAAGAAGAAGAAAAATATGCAACTCAAATTATAGACTAAGCTGGGTCAAATAAATTGGTTTTTCTTTTATTTTAATCTATTTATACTAAAATAGATGATAACAACAAATGGACCAAATTAAAAAATGTGATAATAATAACTTGGAAATTTTTTTTAATAAATGGGGACAAACAATGTGACTTGATTTTTAGTCCATTAAATACAAAAGAATGGAATTGGTTAAAAAAGGATAAAAAAACTAGCTCAATTCAATCCGAGTTAGCATGACAAACCTATAACTCAAAGAATAAGAGGTGAGCCAATTTGATTTAACCTGTCAAAATCGCGACCCAAGTTATGAGATTCGGATAACTCGATACAAAACAAAACATAAAAAATTATAAAGCTGAAAAGAAAATAAAAAAAAAATAATAAAAAAACAATGTCAACCAATGTCAACTTTTCAAACATGTGACCTTGGACATTATATTGGAAATACCCTATTTGAAAAAACCATGTAACTTGATTCTCAATTAATTAAATGTCAAAAGATTAACTTGAAAGAAAATATCAATTACACAGAAGGATTCAAACCAAAAAATAACAATTAAAAAAAATAAGAATCAAAATTGAAAAGAAAAATTAATTGAAAAAAATGCTAAAAAAAACAATCAAAAGAATAAGGATCAAAATTGAAAAAAATAAAAACAAAATTTTGATTGAAGGGTGAAATTGAAAATAGAAAACAATTCAACAAAAGGACCAAAAAAACAATAAAAAAGAATGAGGAAAAAAAAATACATAGCAAATTTGGATGAAAAAACAATAAAAAAGAATGAGGAAAAAAAGATAATACATAGCAAATTTGGATGGAATGAAGAAATTAAAACAAATGAAACTTCTACAAGAAGGTCGAGAACAAAAAGAAATCAAAAGAATAATGATTGAAATTGAAATGCCACCAACAAAAAGACCAAACTATAATTTTATAGAGAGAAGAGATAAAAGAAGAAAAAAAAGTCTATCAATGACAAACTAGACCACCATTATTGATAAGCGTAGCTCTAATAAAAACAAGATACGACAACATTTTCAATTACATAGCAAAAATATATTTTTAAATGCCAGAAGGTGATGCATGAGTCATCCAGAAAACATTATTGATAAGCGTAGCTCTAATAAAAGCAAGATACGACAACATTTTCAATTACATGACAAAAATTTTAAATGCTAGAAGGTGATGCATGAGTCATCCAGAAGACATCAACGCTTCTCACATGCTGGATTGTGGTTCACACATTCACCACCTTTTTATTTTTTATATTTAATTAAACACCAAATAACTTATAAGATGACTTGATTGTAATAGAAGAATCATCATTAAGAGATGAAAAAGTCTGTTGATACCAGTTTTAAAATTTTTGTTTTTAAAGATAATTTGGTTGTTTTATTTTATTTTATTTTTATATTTAATTAAATATCAAATTATTTCTTAGTTGATATTATAATAACAAAAAGAAAACCTTTGTAAAAATATAAAAATATCTCTTTACATCAAGTGTTTTTTAGCTTTCGAGAGTAATGTGTACAAAGATGCAATATAATCACCGAAAAAAAACACATTCAATTACTTGAATCCATTCTCATATACAAGGCATCGATCACGTTTATTTGCTAATGCAAACTAAGAAGGAGCCCTTTATTTTACTCTATTCCTGAACTAATGTTTGAAGATTGCAAGGCCCGGTGACAGAAGGACTTCCCGTCCACATTAATTTTGCAAATTGATAGTTGGCCTTTTCGGTTGGATGGGAACCATCAAAGAATAAATACTCGCTAGGATCGTCACACAATTGGAACTCTTTTATTGTTCTCTTTCCACCACAGCTCAGGATTCCTCTATACGGACCACTGCCACAACATGCCACTTTACCCTCCTTGAAACCTACAAAACGTAAGTGAAAGTAATATGTAAATGAGAAACGAAAGCAGAGATTTCTTCTTCTTCTTCTTCTTTTCATCCGATAATTAAGATCATGGGAAAACTCTTTAATGCATGGTCGAGTAGTAGACGTGAAGGGGATATACCATATTTTGAAGGATTGTTAATTCTTTCACTTAGTGAGGCATGGAAATCAAAGTTTGAATACTTGAATCCTTTTAGCTGCCCCATAAGCTCTTCCAAGGCTCTAGTCAGTGCTCTGTTGTGCAGTTTAGCTAGCACTGTAAGTTCATCTACGCAACCACGAGTGTTGTTTTGTAGAACTGCTCTCGCATATGGAAAGCAACCCATAGGCTCCACATTTAGGAATCCAAATTTCCTTCCTCCGTTCTTGTATATTTCCTGAATTAGGCACCGAATTTTACCCATAAATTGTCTAATTAGAGAAATCAAAGAAATCTTCAATATCAAGCACTATTAGCCTGGAGATTCCGTATTACCTTGACCACAGTTGTCAGGTTACCAACTACCATCCCAACATAATCTCTTTTGGAGGAGGAATGAAATGCACTGTAGTTTGTGGAGAAAGGTTCTACGTAGTCATTACTTCCTATGCTTAACAAGTAAAGAGCTTTAGACAAAAACGTCTTAGTTTCTGTGTCGCCTCTTTCTTCTCTGAGCTTCTGCTTCACTTTCCTGAAATAACTTAGCTGAGTTTTAAGGTCTATTACCTGTAACAGAAATATGCGTCATAGAAATAAATTAGAAAGTGAAAAGTGAGTAAGGATACATATTTGAAGAACTATAATCTTACGTCAATTTAGATCACATACAAATCCCTTGTAAGTTTCTGCCAAAGCACCAGCTCCTGCTGATGCAAAGTTGACCCCAGCTAGATACCGATGGTTTCCAGGTTGTAGATATGGTGGAATTAATGGCAAGTTTAGATACTCAGCTGTAATATAGTTGCAGTTATCCATGTTTTAGAATCTCATTTAAATGGAAGAAGAAGAGACTCGAAATTCATAATACAAGAATATCATGTAAATGTCTTACCGATAAAATCAGGAATTAGTCTACCATCGGAAAATCTCCCAGTAGGATGCTTAAAGAATGTCTCACCATATGGCCAGAAATTTGCTCGTCCAACAGCACTCTTTAGGTAGTTGTTGTTACCAGCATCAAACAGTGAATCTCCAAAGATGAACATCGCTACATGGTCACTTGGAGACGATGGACGCTGACTATAGCAACTTGTAGGGATGACAAAGCTCGTGTATACGAGCAACAAATGAAAACTGGACGTTGATGAATTAGACATGTTCTAACTTGTTCCCCTGCTGTAATGATATGCTAATTTCTCTTCGCCGTTTATAGAATCTCTTGGCTTGATTATCGTAAAAGACAAAGTCAATTAAAGAAATTAAAAGAGGCAAAAACACTCTTCAGCTCCCATACTTGCGCAGTTGGTGTGTTAACACCCCGTTTCAAACTTGCCTGATTTAAAACAAAAAGGAGCCAAAATGTTAGTCTATCTAGTCCCAGCTGATGAGAAAGAACTTGATTGCATTTGTTTTAAAAATAAAAATAGGGATTGATTTTTTTAATTAAAAACCATTTTAAGATATTTAAAAACACAAAAACTAGAATTGACTTGTATTAGTACAAAGTGACATTGATGTATTTATAAGGGCGTAAAACGATTACTTGCTACAAAAACCGGGATAAAAGGATGGCTTTTCCTAATACAAGGGGCCGGGAAAAAATAATAATAATAATATCAAATGTAGGGTTTGGACTTCAAATTTTCAGCTTTCGGCTGTAAAAGTCAACGTGATTTCTTCAACGTTGTAATTGCGTTGAATGGTTCTTCCTCGAGTCTACAGTACTTCTAGAGAGATTAATTATCCCCAACCACCTACTTATAAATTTAAATCTCGTGGTGAAGGTACTAATGATCAGAAAACCCTATTTCTTATCTATATGGAGGCGCCGCCGGTCGAAGATTAAAGAAATCGAAACTTCTAGACGATAGAACTAATCCCTCTCCTCGGGTTCGAAATGTGTCAACAAATATCGTAATCAACATGTTCAAGTGTACCATGTAAATTCTACATATGATGCCATGAATTATGCAAAGCAAGGAGAGAGAAATTAAAAAAATAATCTCATCAACAGTAATGATAGTAAAAATAATATAAGTTATTATCGTGGTCGTTGCAGAAAAGAATAAAGAAACGATGCTCAGATAATAACAATAATAATATATTTTAAAAATATTATACCATTATAACAGAGAAGGGTGATGCATGGTGAGATGAAGATAATGAAAAGACATAGTAGTTTAATTAGAATAATGACAGCGATATCAACATTGACGGCAAAGTTGACAGCAACAACAAGGAATTTCAACCATGTACTCTTCACTTGCTCAGATCATTAGAGGACAGGACCTTGTTGGCCACGGCTTGCTGATAGTGGAACGCATCATCAATTAAAAGTCCTCGTGTTGAACTTAGTTGGGAAGGCCGGCGCCCGACATATTACTATTTCAAATAATAATTCTAATAAATCATATAGGTTGGTGAAGCTCACTGCTGTGCTCAAGTTTGGAGATGCGATTGGAGGAAAGTTGAAGTTTTGTCTAGAGATTCGTTAAGCAAGAAAATGTATATACTACATGTGCTTGTTGGCTCAACTTAGACAAACCTAATTTACTAGAAAAGTCAAGTGCAGCAATCAATAAAAGAAATCAAGGTTGATATGTTCGAGGTTAAATTAGCTTATGGTCTTAAGAAAATAATATATAATTTTCAGTCCAAAATACTTCAAAAATATATATATAAAAAGTTGACCTGGTCGTCCCTTGCAATGGTTCTGACAGCCGGAGGGCTGTTGGAAAGTCAACAGTTGCCATTCAAGTTCATCTAGAACACCATTTGCCACTATTTTTAGTCCAAAATACTTAAAAAATGCCGTTCCCAAAACCTCCACACACTTGTTTATAATTTCAAAAACAATTCTCGTCTGCTTTAAATCCTCAAATATTGAAATTGCAAAGGCTCTGTTGATCTCCATCTTAAACATCTGTTTTTCAGCCATGAAAGATATTTTCTTGGCTATCGATCAATTTTACTAATCAAGACTACACTCGTTCACAGCCTCTAACTGAAAAGGTCATCTCTGTTACCATCTCTCTCTCCTCTCCTCTTCGTTCTCAATATACCACTCTATCTCTCTATCTCTGTCTATAAATGAAGTCAAGGATTTAAAAGCAAAATAAATGAATTTTGGTGAAAGCAATATGTTGAAACAACACGTAAATGTTCATCTAACCGAACAAAATAACAAAAAAGCTTGCGAACGATTAATTTACTGTGAATGACCCTCTGCCCAAATCTTTTTGTTATAAATAAATGTATTAATTTCTTTAGATATCGTTACTGTTCACTCTATTTTATAAATAAATGTATTAATTTCTTTAGATTTTTTTTCCTTTTTATATATATATATAAGAACATATAAAGCGTGACTCTTTTACTATAGATATCGTTACTTTTCACTCTATCATATTTCACCATGAACTGCAATAGTGTGATTTTTTAAAAAAACTTTAATTTGATTATCAATCTTATATTTTGTACAACTGAACTATTTTAAGTCGAAATTGGAGTCTAATTACATGTTTTTCATTTTAATTAAAAAACATAGAACTAACGTGAAACATGCATGTACAATAGTTGGTTCTCTGGAATTTTCTTGGAAAGTTGAATTTCATTCTCCATCTTTTAAAGCTATTAGGTGATTCTTATAATTTTTTAAAAAGATATTTTAATAAAAAACTTAATTTTCCTTAAATTTTAGTTTTTTTTTTGTAAAGAAGAAAAAGGGGATTAACATATTCTAATTTAAAGAAAAAAAAGTTATTAGAGAAGATTTAGGCTTATAATTTTTTAAAAAGATATTTTAATACAAAACTTAATTTTCCTTAAATTTTAGCTTTTTTTGGTAAAAAAAAAAAAGAGGATTACTAGATTCTAATTTAGAGAAAAAAAGTTATTAGAGAAGATTTAGACCATCAAAACAATCAATTTTAGCATCAAATGGTTCCATATGATAAGAGGTTTCTATTATGTGAATTTTACATTCAAAACATCTAAAAAAACATATTTGAGCTTGAAAAAATTTATTGTTTTGTATTGATTTTAGATTTTGGACAAGTTTTTTTGTGTTTTTAGAGGTCATGAATTGGTTTAAATATTTATTTTTTTATAATATTTTTAATATATGTAACCTTGAGTAATATTTTTCTCCTTTTATTTTATTCAATAAATTTTATGTATGTCAATCTCAATTGCAAATTAATTTTCATAAACAAATTCATTAAACACAATCTGGTAAATGATTCGTGTTGAGATATTAACTATCTTGATTTACATTGGTATTTTAATTTTTTCAATTATCTTTTTTATCGTTAATTATTATTTTTATTTATTTAAACAATGGTTTGTGATTTATTTAATTGAATGTGTGCATAAATTTTTTAGATTTACATTTATGATTTTTTTATATGAAAAAATACGTTGAAAAATTCTACATGTTCAAGGTTTTTTCATCATCTGTTAGTGTTTTTAATTTGATCCTTATTGTTATGATTTCTTTTTTCTTTAATTCTTTTATAAAATTTTTATTATTTTTAATTTTTCCCTTTAATCCAAGTTGATAATGCATTGTTTTCTTGTTTTTTTTTTTAAAAAAAAATTTGGCCCCCATTTATCAATTTATATGTGTGTTTTTTTCCCATTTGCTATCATTGCCTCTTTTTTTCCTCATGTGATTCAAATAAGTCCAACTTATTTAATTGGTTGGGACTATAACCCGAGTTATTAGATTTTTTTAAAAAAAAATTCTTTGCGACACTAAATATTTTATTGAAAAAATAATATAGATTCACAGCGTAGCGCAAATGTGTGACAGTTAGACATGAAGAATGTGTTTTTATTTTCTTGGATATACTTCAAAAATACCTCAAAAATATTATGGTTGTATTGATTTTACATCAAAACTAGTTGTTGTTTTAATTTATTTTTTTTATAAAAGTAATTGTATAGAAGAGAAAAAACTATACAAAAGCAGAAGGGGATATACCCTAAAAATTATAAAGGCATGTTGCCTAGGTCATATTGACCAAAGGCAACTAAAAAATGAAGCAAAAGCTAAGGGAAAATATAGACTACCAAGACAAACAATTGTTTGATCGGTAGACCAGCTTCTTGGAAAACTAGAAGCGGTCAATTAGTTGTTCACATAGAAACCTAAAAAAAAAAACTCAGAAAACGATCAACTGGTTCATCAAAATCTTACAACTAGTCAACCAATTTCTACAAAATAGCAAGAACCGAGAAGCAATGAAATATCAAGAAATTAGAAGGCACCGAATGAACTTGAAGGCATCTAAGATATGATATCTTAGTTTAACCTCAATCAAAAAAGACTAAACAAGCTCAAAAATTTCCTCATATACATCCCGATAGAATTCATAAATATGATGAAAGATTCGATTATCCCTATTATACTAGACGAAGTAAATTATGGTTGAGAGGACTAATCGAGCAAGAAGATGCAAAAACTACTTCTTTTTCAAAAGTGTGTATACCCATTATAGCAAATTTCATCATAACATGGAAGGCAGCCTGGAAGAGTCTTGTTCGTGATAGTACCCCAAGCTATAGTAGAAAAGGAGCATTGAAAGAATACGTAGTCATGTGTCTAAACATCATACCAAAAAAGAAATGATCTGGAAAGCATGCAACTTATCCATGGTTTATAGATGACTCATAGAAGCAAGTCATAGGATAAATAAGTGTTTCGAGATGAATCCTAGGAACTAGAAAAGATGGTGCATAGAATTTATGAGTCTGAACTCTCTAAGAATCTTTTATACTGAGTCAATAGAAAACCTCTTTGAAGAATGACCTTTCCAAACATAATGATTTGGAAAAGCACTTTTATGGTGAAAGTGAACTAAGTCTAATATAAGCTGAAACTCCGAACTACCTAATAGAAAAAGACCGAACAACCTCATCTATAATGTTTGAGATCTTGGCATCCCAAGGGAGCCTAGTAGATGATAGTACCTTGAAAGGCATGAGGTCACTTAACTATTGCCTATTGACAATCAATAGTTTGATCGTAGAGAAGTGAGGGAAAGGTAAATAGCTTGTCTAAGGTATTCATTACCTTCAGCCCCCTAGACCCTAGGGTAGACCTCTCCCACAACACGAATTCCATAATCCTTTTCTCCTACACACGGAGAATAAGAAAGCAAAGGGGAGTATGATCATGATGAATAACACACTAAACTAAAATAAATAATTGATAAAATAACATACTAGTATAATAAGGGCAATAAAGTTCTTGAGTCATGCTATTGATTTTGTACTCTATCTAGACTAATATAACCTAATGCATACCGTCTCATCCTTCTCATTAAGGAGCAATTCTAGATAACACTATAATCGAGCTGAGGTCTAACTAAACTATGAAATTTCATTATCAACTACTTTCCCTTTCATTTCGTTACATGCGATGATTTATCTTGGAAAGTATCTTTCATAAGCCCTCTTGGCCTAACAGGAAATGTAAAAAATCAAGGGATGAAAGACTCTTTTTCAGCATTGTTGGTCAACATGTAGTAATGTTTAGATATTCTAACTGTAGCTTCATCTTGAAGATTCCCACCAACTTATTAAAAGCAAACAATATGGTCCACCTGTTAAGATGGATCTAAACTGAACTCAAATTATAATAACAAAAAAATCCCTTACAAAACCTTGCAAAGGAAAACAAGTACTCCAACTTATACATGCACATGGGGGTAGTAATGATAAAATTGTCTCCAATAGGTTTACTAGTGACCTAGGTAACCCGATCATCCTTCTCAGGCAACAATACTGTAAAGTCCCCCAGTTACTTGGAGTTAGCCAAGAACACTTGCTTATGCGATACTATGTTTTGCTCCTCATCATAAGGAGTCCTATGCACCAGTACGGTAAAGTCCCCCAGTTATTTAGAGTTAGTCAAGGACACTTGCTCATACGATGCTGTGTTTTGCTCCTTATCATAAAGAGTCCTATGCACCAGTACTATAAAGTCCTCCAGTTACTTAGAGTTAGCCAATGACACTTGCTTATACGATATTGTGTTTTGCTCTTTATCATAAAGAGTCCTATGCACCAGTACTATAAAGTCCCCCAGTTACTTAGAGTTAGCCAATGACACTTGCTTATACGATATTGTGCTTTACTCCTCATTATGAGGAGTCCTATGCACTAGCCTAATTGGTCTAAGGATCATTATGAACCTATGTTGGGGTTATAAAGCTTTGTTTATTCATTCTTAAAACTTTTATCATGAACTATTCATGTCAGGAATTATCGTCTTCCTATATCTATAGATGTATAAAAGATTACCCAATTGCCTACCATATTTTTATTTTATTAATAATATATAAGGGATATTTGTTCCTCATTAATAATATACAAGGGATTTTTATTGGTCATTAATCCTATAAGGAGAAAATGACTCTCTAAACCTTTCATTCCATCAAAATGACGAGGTTCAAGAATTATAAATACCTTCTAAATCACTCACATACAGGTTTCACAATTTCTATTCTTCAAGCATTCATTCCTTAATTCTTAGAGCACTTATCATACCAAAAAAGAACAAACATTCTTGTTCTTGAATGTTTGTTCTTGAAATTTAATTTTTTTTTTTTTCAAGCATTCATTCCTTAATTCTTAGAGTAGTTATCATACCAAAAAAGAGCAAACATTCTTGTTCTTGAAATTTAAAGTTTTTTTTTTTTTTTTACAATTCTCTACTTAAAAGTCATTAACTTTGTTGTCTGGGGATTCTTAAAGCTACCAAAATGAATTGTTTTATAGGTGCTAAGATCTTGGGCTATGAAAAAAAAAATATTGATATGAACATTAATTAACAATTATTCAAATACCAAATAACGAACATAATAAATTTTAAGAAATCATCATTTATCTTATAGTTAGAAGATTTTTGTGAGATTTCCTCTTTATTATTAATATTTTTAATTTATAGTATTCTATTGTTTTAATTTAGACATGCCGGTTTCTTATGTCAAATTGATAGCTACCTAACGTGTGTCTATTTTAGGTGCTAAGATCTTGGGCTATGAAAAAGAAAATATTGATATGAATACTAATTAACAATTATTCAAATATCAAATAATGAACATAATAAATTTTAAGATCATTTATCTTATAGTTAGAAGATTTTTGTGAGATTTCCTCTTTATTATTAATATTTTTAATTTATAGTATTCTATTGTTTTAATTTAGACATGCCGGTTTCTTATGTCAAATTGATAGCTACCTAACGTGTGTCTATTTATTGTGACTTGATGGACGGACTTAAATCTTATCGAAATCAAGAGTTTAAGATCTTGGCATGGTACTTTAAACACATGATCTAAATGAGATTTGGATTTAATTTGAAGGGGTCGGTCTGGTAGTTAGGAATGAATATGAAGAAAATTACCCTTTACAATAAAAATAAATATTTCGGAGACAAGATCATATCTACTTGCCACCCTCAACCATAGCTTTGAATAATCTTCCCTGATTTGTTACTTTCGACCCTTGAAGGTTCCCTAGTCTTGAACTTTTGCACTAGTCCTTGACAGAAAGTTCTGTGACATCATCTACAAGTTCTAACTTTACCAGAAGATACTGGAAGGCGTAGTACTTGACCTGGTATTCGTCATATGTAAAAGCAATCAAATAGCAAACTTCATTTGAAATAATTTCCTGATACAATAAATAAATTCACACATAACAAGTCTTGGGGACACTGGCATCTGCAAACCCTATTCAGCTATTCCTTAATTAGTGTTTTCAGACTGTGAGGCCTCATGACACTAGAACAAATGTTCCCTTGCATTCTTACATGATGCTCTTGTATTTCCGCCATCCCTCCACGGTTCAGGACTCCTCTGTGTGGAACACTGCCGCTGAATGCCACTTCCCCTACCTTGAAACCTTCATAGTATGAAATCATAACTTGCAGATTAGAATAAGACCAAAGTTATATAGGAAAAACTGGGTGGGAAGTGGTAGATACATACAATATTTTGAAGGATATTTGATTCTTTTACTTAGGGTGGAGTGGAGATTGAAATCTGAATATTTAAATCCTTGTAGCTGTTTCTACACTTCTTTGAGGGCTTTTGTAAGTGCTCCATCGTGTAGTTTTACCGGCAATGCCACTTCATTCAGGCAGCCACCTTTTCTATCTTGTTTAAGTGCTTTTACTGTAGGGAAATGGCCCTAAGGAGCCAGGCTTGCAAAATCAAACTTTCCTCCTCCAAATTTTTCATATACTTCCTGGAACACAAATCGCAACATTAAGCTATGATAACAAGAACGAAGAATTGCAAGGAAGAAGACGGTAACATTATGCCATCCGTTTGAGCACAGTTATCAGATTACCCGTAACCAACCCTACATAGTCTTTTCTGAAATACGACTGAAGTACACTGGAATTTGCGGCAAAGGTTTTGCAAAAACATGTTTAGTTACGTGGTTTATTTTTTTAGGCTAAATTATAAATATATCATTGTACTTTTGGGGTTAAAATTTTATTGAAATAAAAATAACATATGCTTTTTAATATGGTATCAAGTTTGTCGATTTAATTTTATTGCTCATGATCATGACCGTGTTTACTTTTAAATTTACTAAAAAAAGTATATCATTGGTCAAAAAATAGGTTAGAATCTTAGAATCTAAAAAAAAGTTAACATAGGTTAGAATCTTAGAATCTAAAAAAAAAAAGAGTTAATAAAGTTTTTTAACCAATTACCCAATAAGTTTTCTTCATACATAGTTACCTAAATCATAAGAAATCATTTTTTTTCTTTAATTATATTAGTCGGAGATTTCTTTTTTCTACAGCCCGTTAGAAGTTGCATAACAGAGTTTAAATTCCGTTATCTTGGAAATTCCTGAATATATTCCATATTCTGCTTCACGTGCATCTACGAGTATATTTCTGCTATTTTTATTTCACCTATTATTTTGGTGCTTTTCTACTTCACATTTTCGCAATATTCTCATATTTTTCAATCAATAATATAGTTTTTCAAGTTTTCGAACCAAAAAATACAAATGCTAATTTTGGCCTAAAATATTGCTCTTATCGATCTTTCTGCCCATGACTCTTACACTAGTAATTTTTTATCATTTTCTTTAATTTCTTATTAATAGCACCACGATAAGCTATAATTCGCAACGTAGACATTGCAAAAATAAATAAATTAACATGATGAATTTATTGATAGACACATAAGAATTAAAAAGGACTCTTCCTGTAGCCTCTTCCAAAACTCGATTACGAGTAGAGGGTGATTATTGAATAGAGCTGATTAAGCTTACTTTTTAAAATATATTTTTCTTTTATTAAAATAATATTTTTTTATATCTAACACATCAGAACAATAAAAAAACATAAAAAATTCGGAAATTCTTCAAAATACGGTGCCAAACAGAGTCTTAAGTTTCTGTTTGGAATAGATTCATTAGATTATAAGGCCCAAGAACATGAGGGTGGCCAGCCCCTCCACCCCACATTTGATCTGCCAATTGTCTGTAAGCCGTTTCAGTGAGATGAATAGAGTCCCAAAACACATATTCATTAGGATTTTCACATAACTCGAACTGCTTCACTAGTCTCTTTCCTCCACAGCTAAAAACTCCTCGAAATGGCCCAGTTCCACAGCATGCTGATTCCCCTTGCTTGAAACCTTGATGATCCAAGTTTTTTTGAACACAAAGCAATGTTAGATATATACAGTGGCCAGGCCGTTTGCCAATCCATAAAAGTTCCCATAAATGAAAGCTTCATGGGTCTAATCTAGTGAGCTATAAGGACAAAGAAAATAGGACCACAATAATTTGGGTTGGAGCCCACAAATACCCGCGTCAAAGAAATGAGAGTGTTTTTTTTATAGAGTATAGACCGTAGGACATACCGAATTGAGAAGGATGATTGATTCTTTGTTCAAGAAAGCTGTTGAGGTCAAAGTGTGAGTCTTTGAAACCCTTCAATTGCTCCTCCAGTTCACGGAGGAGCTTGGAGAGAGCTTTGTTGTGTAGTGTTGAAAGCAATGAAGTTTCTTTCAGGCAGCTACCGTTGCTATTCCTGATTGTGGGCAGACAGCCCAGTGGTGGGACATTGATAAATGCAAATTTTCTGCCCCCCAACTTGTATATTTCCTGTCAAATCAGCATCGATACAAGTCTTGATATTTACGTAAATGGAATTCAGAAAATACAAATCTATATCAGAAGCTTAGAAGGCAATAGCACTTACTTTAATCACGGTTGTCAAGTTGCCGATGACCATCCCAACGTATTTGGAGTTTGTGTATGACTTTAGAATAGTGGAATTGGTCAAGAAAGGGCTCATGTAATCATTGCTTCCAATGCTAAACAAGTATACAGCTTTTGATATTGTCATCTTGGCTTCATCATTGCCTAGCCTATGTCTCAACCACTTCTCCACCTTCTTGTAATAACTCAACTGTGTTCTAAGATCAATCACCTAAATAAAGATGAAAAAAAAAATAGTCGTATGATATGACTGGTTTGGTGCCACTATTCACCTGGGTAATGAAATCCTTTCATTTTCATGCCTTATGTGTGGTGTGTGATCATTCCACCATATCCATGTTGACATCAGAAGTGTATTAAAGCTGTAGAAATTTTATGTCGATTATCGAAGTTGAGAAAATGGGTCAGCTTGCCATAAAGTTTTGAGGGCCTTCTCTTTGATCTTGACATGTCAAGGATGCACTTAAGAGCTTGTGGACCCAAAAAATTAAGTGCACCCAGCCTATAAAAGTAATACTGTCTTAAGTTGAGCTTACACTGCCCTTAATATTTAGGTCAAAACAAAAACTTCAATTTTCAATTCTCGAATACGTACAACATCAAAGCTTCTACATCTTTGGATCAGAAAAGAAAGAAAGAAAGAAAAAGGCCTCTAGATCTCCAATCTTTAGCTCATTCTATCCTTCTTTTTAGTTCTTCTAACATGCAAGTAATTAAAAAAAGAAAGAGAATAGGTTAAAGGTCTCTGCTTTCTCATGGAAAGCATGAAATACAAAGTAGTTGAAACGAATCAATGAAAAGAGAAAAGTTATCGATCCATACAATGAGTTGGATTATTTGAAAAGCAGAGCACGTCTATGCGTGGAAAGGCTTCCCTAAATAACATGCGTATTTAGATAAGTATATGCAAGATATGGCTTGTAGCGAAAGTAATTCCATTGTAACAATATACTTACATCCCCTTTAAATGTTTCAACTAAAGCACCAGCTCCGGCAGATGCAAAATTGACTCCATAGTAATATTGATCAATGCCAGGTTGCAGAAAAGGTGGGATAAATGGAAGATTTGCATATTTAGCTACAATGTTGAACCAGAAAAAATAATGTACAAGATTATAAGAGAACATAATATTTGTAGGTTAGCCAAGGATGTCATGAGTTGCACAAACAAGAAAGACATAGCTAGAGATTTGCATCTCTCACCAATAAAATCCGGTGCCAGACGACCGTCAGAGAAACGACCGGTGGGGAACTTGAAGAAGGTTTCTCCATAAGGCCAGAAGTTTGCTTGGTCAAGAGTTGTGGTGTTGATATAGTTGTTGTTGCCGGCATCTAAAAATGAATCACCGAAGATGAAGAAGGCAACAACATGTTTCTTTGGATGCTCGGATGTTGCTTGGCATCTTGCTGAAATGAGGGCCGCGTGAAGAAGAAAAGCATACAAGAAGTGTTGACTTATCTTCGCCATACCTTACTCGTTTTGCTCTCATCAATCACGGAGACCTCTTGTGGTCTATGGCTTGACTTTAAATATGTAGGAGCTTTGCCATTGCTTCATTTACATGGCTGAAGAATTATACATATACGCATATATATATCAAGAAAAGACCGACCTCGTTCAACTGGGTGCAATGGGAGTTCTTGGTTCAAAACAAGGAGCTGAGATTTACAAGTGTGGACATTGTAGTCAACTTTTTTGAGTTTGGCACGATGAAAGGGACTTTCGAGGATGTGTTAGGCAAAATCTGACAGATCAAACATATGATGAATTAAAAAAAGAACATCAAAGTCAATGAGCTCTTAAGTAACTTAACAGTCTTTTTTGCTAATTCTTCAAATAAAAAAAAGAAAAAGAAAAGAGGCAATTAGAAACTCAAGCATGGAAGAAGGACCAGGTTGGGAAACACGTTTTGAGGTTCTGGCCATAATCAAATAGCAAATTTCTGTGGTGATGGGGTCTACAATTTCCCCACTTCAATGAATCTCTTTTTAATTCCTTTTCTATCCCTTCTAAACTCAATTGAAAAGAATGCATGCATCTGCATCATTTGCAATAAGTTCCTTAGGAAAATTAACAGCCGCATGATTGAAGAATAAGGCGCTATTTTGATGTTGATCTCGCATGATGTCGCCTAGATGTTATATTAATTAAACCAACATATAGAATCATGTCGCCTTGGTGTTGTATTAATTAAACCAACATATAGAATCATGTTTCTGTGATGATGTCCTTTTGAGATAGCTTTCTTTCAAAAATCAGAATCATTTTTGTTGCTGAATCTGTCACTCTCCCAGTCTAGTATTCGTCCAGGTAATTCGCAAATATCTCCACTGATGAAAGTGTAGTCTTATACACACACACACACACACACACACTTCTAATTTAATTTATTTTTTGTTAAATACACTTCTAATTTAAATCATTTTAACTTATTTTTATTTTAAATTATTACTGAAAATTAATTTTTGAATTATAGCTCAAAGCCAAAAATTACCCAAAATAGCTCTTAGTGCTCATTTGATATGATTAAATTAATTTAAAATGTTCTATAAAATAAGATTTTGGTTTTTCTCTAATTATTTACAAGTGAAGGGTGTTTTTTTTTTATTATTTGTTTAATTGTTGTGTCTATCGATAACTATATATACACGTAGCCTGTGTGCTCTTCTGCTGGAATGTGATATCTGTCATTTTCACCTATGAAGCTAAGATAAAGAAAGTCGGAATCATAATTAGCACCTCTTTGAGTGGCAGTTTAACATCTTCTTAAAATACAATTAATAACATGTTTCGCGATTAGTACTTTAGTGCTTGGTTGCTATTACATCGACATCTAAATGGTTTTATTTTTAAAATATATTTAAATAATATATTTAAAACTTATTTTTTATATTAATATATCAAAAAGAATTTAAAAATATAAAACACTAAAACATGTAGGAGCATCATCAATGATCAAGTTTGGTAAACTTCCAGCTTATATGTCTGTAAATTCTTCTGTCATAATTCACGGACTGGCCATCTATTTAGGCAGTCATGTAATTGCTAAAAGGCCTATCAATGGAAGTTTGTTGAGATGTGACTAATAATACTGTTGTCTATACTCATTTTGGCATTTCCTCCTTCCATTTTGTAGTACAGGAATATTGAAGAGATGGGGTCGGTCCCCTGCTGCATTGTGGTATTCAAATTTTAGGTAGATCACGAAACTGTGTATTTGGAAGATGAAGGCAAATTTAACATCTGTTTGTGTGATGAAGTATATTGTGAAACTGAAAGCTTAGAACTCTACAGAGAAAACTGAGAAATAAAATATGTTCCAAAATTCTTTTCTTTAATGAGCTAATTTTTTTATATTATATTGCATAGTATTATGCCAATGAGCATAAATTTTTATTTAATTGTTTGAACAGATTGAAATCTTACCATATATTTCTAGAAATCATTTTTATATCAAGTTAAAATGTTAGATTAATTCGACATATGGAAATCCTTATAATAAAGTCTATAAACTACTATATTTTATTTATATTTGTTTCCTAGTTGATTTATGATTTGTTTTAAATTTTATTTAAATTTTTTTATTTTTTTAGAGTTGTTTAATTTTTTTTAATTTTTTTTATTTTTTCAGAGTTATTTATGATATTTTTACATATTATAAATAAAGTTCTTTAGATTGTACTTAGGTTTTAGCTTTTGAGCAATGATGTTTTGCATAAACTTGTGTTTTACGTCATGCAACACTTTTTTTGTGGTTTAATAAGAAATAATTAAAATTATCAAAGTATAATTGACTTTGTAGAGTTCTTTCTTGTACTTCTTGTTCGCGTTCGCTAATTGTTGAGTGATGGTTTATATTTCAATAATATTGGTACTTTGATTCAAGTAATCACTATGTCATACTTCAATCAAAATTGATTCTTTAGCTTTCTAGGATTTGTATTTCTTGCATGTGTGTTACGTAATCCAGTGATCACGAGGTTCATATTAGTTGGTATCAAAGATTAGATTTACTTATCAAGTTACATTTTTTATGTTATTATTATTTAAAATTATTTCCATGTATTTCTTCTTCTTGTTTTTCTTTGTGTCTTGTTTTGGGTCTAATTTGATTAAAGTTCTATTTGGTTAATTTTTTTTTCTTTGTCTTCTTTTGTTATTGTCTAGTTTTGTGTTAAGGGTCAATTGATTAAAAATAAAAAAAAGAAGGATCACAAATTCAGGTTTAAAGGGGTTTATTCATTTAGGTAACTAGGTAAATTGAATTTCTTAGATCTAATCTTAGTAAAATCAATTAGGTATCTATAATATCAAATTTCAAATTTTGGATCAAAATTCCTATAGTGTTTTTATATCATATCTTGCTTGTCTTTTGTCTCATTTTTCTATTGGTGGCATGTATTCACTGAGGGAGAGAGAACGGAAAAAGATTCTCACTTAAAAATACAAAGACCAATCCTGTATATTTGGGGTTTTAAGGAAATAATTTGCTAAGGTAAAGAATTGCTCTATGAATACAAATCCTTAGAGAAATAGGAACAACAACGTCGAAATGATGAAAGGCAAAAGAGAAGGACTATTGTTTTTATACAAAGTTATTGGATGCAAGTGTTAGCAAGAAAAGAGTTCTAAAGGTTTCAACAAGAGTTTTATAAAATATTCATTATACCTATAGATTATTCAAGGATAAATCATCTTGAAGAGAGAGAAAATTATACAATCCAGGAAAAGATTTAATAAGAAAATTTGGATTTTAGTGTAATTATGTCTATTGTTTAATTTTACTCTATTAAGCATAACTCTCAATTTAATCGTTTGATCCGGCTAAAATTTTACCATGAGTTTTCAGACATATTTTCTGTATTAATTTAAATTTTAAGGTCAATTAAACTTCTAAAAGGTATCGCAATACAGGTTAGTAGATGCAATATAAATTTTTTTATTTGTTACCTTTTGATTTGTGAACTTCCTATTTGAAGAGGATTTTTTTTCTAATAATACAAGGATGTTCAACAACTAATTTTGAAACTTTTTCTACTTCTACAAGGACCTTTATGGGAAGTAAAATAGTTTTTAAATGTGACAAAATCCTTTAATATTCTAAAATCATTTTCTTACAAGGATTATAGGGTTGATATTTCCTATTACACAATTCTACATAATTTTGTATTCAATAAATGAAACAAATTGAAATTTCACCATACCTTTTTAGAGGTCATGTTTTATATATAGCTAAATTTCAGATCAATATGATATTAAAAAGGCCTTACAATAAGGTTTATAAACTATTATATGAGATTTATATTAGTTTCTTAATTGATTTAGAATTTATTTTTTTATTTTTATATATAGCTAAATTTCAGATCAATCCGATATTAGAAAGGCCTTACAATAAGGTTTATAAACTACTGTATGAGATTTATATTAGTTTTTTAATTGATTTAGAATTTATTTTTTTGTTTAGAACTCTTTTTATTATTTTTCTAGAATTGTTTAAGTTGTTCTTACTTATTATAAATAAGGTTATTTAGCTTATACTTAGGTTATAGCTTTTCAACCATGATGTTTTTAATAAACTTATTTTTTACATGATGCAACACTTCTATCTTTGATTAAACAAAGAACAATTAAAGTTGCTAAACTATAACTGACTTTGTGGTATTCTTCCTTATACTTTTCGTATGTGATTTGCTAATTATTGGGTAGGGTTCATATTCTAATATTATTAGTGCTTTGGTTCATGTAATCTCTGTGTCACAATCTTATCAAACTTGATTTTTTAGATTTTAAGAATTTGTCTTTCTTGCATGTGGATCACATGACCATAAGGTTGGTATCAATCCAATAGTTGAATAAAAAATTATGTTTGTTAATATAAAACTATGTAATAAGAAAAATCAACCAAAGAATCCTTGTAAGAAAAGGATTTTAGAACATTAAATGATTTTTTCACACTTAAAAATCATGTTACTATCTATTATATCGGAGTGCTTGCTTGGTAATTATAGGCATATGTATCTTAATTGTTTCTTGCATTGCCACTATAATGTCGTTACAAAGACTGTCATTGGATAAATCTAAGACCTTTTAAAACCAAATATAAAACATAACCATGCTCACTTAATGAGTAGACATATCATTATAATTATGTACCATCTATAAATTGCAACAAAGAAAACTCGATATGTAGCATCCTAATTTCCAAGACTTTTGGGTGGTAAATGATAGTCATATAGATTCTAAAAAAATCTAAGCTATTACAAATAGATTGAGATAGATATGGATGTCCTCATCACTGTAATGATAAAATCAAGTTTTCAAATCTATAAATGACGATCATTATCACCCTTAAAGGGCAAACCTATATGTAATTTACCTTTTTTTGGAAGTGACCCATGTTTATAAGCATTGTAACATTGTGTTTTTTTATTTATTTTGAATGAGAAATATAAACCCACCCTAACAAAATCTATAGGAATCAAATAGAAGACAAAAAGGAAGTTCAACTTGTGCAGAAGCAAGATAACTTTTGAGAACATAAATGGCTTAGTTAATTAATTTGCTAAGACGAACCATTCATTTTGAAAGGAGGCCCCCACATTTGAAAGCCAATACTAAGAAGTTTGTTATGAATATGCCCAATTATCCCTTCACAAACCCTTATCAAAATTCTTATCTAGTTAATTAAAGTTTGTAATTTTTTATAATGCTCCTAGTTCATCAAAGATTTATGTTGTTCTACCTCAAAATTCACTGTAAATTGCTAGAAAAAAAATAAACAAAACAACTTTGCCTTTGTTTCAACCTGGTTATCATAACAATCAAAATCCAAATCATAAAATAAAATGTCAAGAGAAGGATTCTCCCCTTTAAATTCTTATTAAGGATATTTATCAAACCTTCATGAATACTCATCAAATAATGCATTAACCATTTAAATCTATCTAACCACCCTTTCCTAAATGGTACAATAAAAATTCCAAATGTAAGTACAATAGTTGAACAATGAGTCATTCTATTGATTGTTGACAAGGCTTAAGAATAAACTAATTCAATATGGATGCCTATCATTCTATAAGAAAAATGGTGTATTATATCAACAAAAGATAGAGACTTGTATGATCCATTTTAACCTAGAGAAATATATATGTAGAGATTCCTAGAAAATTTAAATCTTCTAAATTTGTTAAGTATACCAAAGCAAAATATCCAAAGACTTACCTCAAATTTTTTAAAGTAGATTAATTTAGAAAAATTTTAAGATGTTACAGAAATCATTAGCTTGATGGTTAGTGGTAGACTAATATATCAGCACAATAACATGTGTGTACTTTTATCTTTTGTACATTAATCCTTGCTGTTAAGTGAATTTCGCTATCTTTATAAATACAAAGCTTATGTGCACTTCTTGGAGATTAATTCAGAATTAACAGCACAAGATGCAAGAAAAGTGGAATTGTAGATTGGTAATCTCAGAAGATAAGAAGCCTCAAAATGTGTAAACATCGAGATAGAAAATGATAAGAAAACTACTTACTATAAGATATTAAACTTCTTTCATTACAAAAAGTTGATCTTTGAGTGCAAACTCTATATAATTGAAATCTATGTCACATTCCAGGCAAACTAATAACATAGAAGTTAATTGAAAGGTTATAAGATACAAGGAAAAGGCTGAAATGTTAAATCATTCTCTAGACTTTGATGGATATGATAGAAGTTAATGATGCTAATTAGAGAAACAAACTCCTTCACCTTTCAATTTTTTTTGGTAATGAGGATAAGGAAATATTTCTCATATCATTTCAATGCAATTTGTTTCATATCCTTAATTGGTTTTACTTAATAAAATGACATGCAAAGGAATAAACCTTGATCCTAGGCAATGTTAGATTAGATAACTACATGTAAAGTCTAACATCACCTATATTTTCATCTGTATAACGTTCTTCCTTTCCTTTGCTTTTGAGACACCTTAGTAAAAAATATGGGAGGAATTTAAATAAGGAAGAGAAATTTGTGTCGTTATATCAATATTGCAATTATGAGTGGGTTGATAGAATTGAGGAACTCAAATTAATTCTATAGGAATTCCTTCGTAGAGAATATGAAGCCTTGAAAGGATATATTTTATGCCAAACTCGTTATGGGTTTTAGCATTTAGGATCAAAGAAACAACAGATGAACCAAACAATGTTGAATTGGAGTAGGCAATGAGTTTATATAAATCCACTCTTATCATCTCTAGAGAAAAACTTGGCTCTTGAGGCTTCAAAACAAAGATAACAATAAAAGCAGCTATCTTTATGGCTACGACTATGAAAAGAAAGAAGAACAATACAAAGAAAAGGCAGGTCTTGAAAGAACATGTATTATAGAATTTTGGGCAACATAAAGAACCTGAATTTTTCAATGAAACATCCATGTCATGTCTTCATATTAGTGTTTGCCCCAAAAAATAGTTTGAGCGACAAATAACCATAATTAATTAACATTTCACAAAATTGGGCTTCTCGCTCTTGTCTTATTATTCATATGTAATGCGTTGTTTTATGCCTCAAAACATAACAATAAAATTCTAAACCTAAAAAAAAAAAAAATAGGCAAACATAAGGTCCCGAGTCTTCGAAACTCGGCTCTACAGTTGAGCATTGAAAACTATAGGAGGGTACTGTAGCAATAAAAAAATATTAACTTTAACTATAAATTAAAAGATATGTGCAAAACACTATAATCCATGCCACTGTGGATACAAATTTATTGTGACATGGATTGCTGTTTTTTTTTCTTCCTAAAATCTTTTTTTATTTCTCTTTTATGGGACAAAATTGGAGAACAATTTAATTAATTTGGTTAAGAAAGAACATGGTAATTGGACAAAGGACCAAACTTAAAACAATAAAGGGAATGGATGGTGCTTTTAAAATTTTTCTGAAGCATTCATTATAATCCTCGTGCTTTTAAAATTATAACTATTAGATCCCTTGATTTTTTAAATTTTAAATTTCAAGAAAAGTCAATTTTGATCCAAAACATTATTTTTCTTAGTTTTCAATTTCTAGTTTGATAAACAAGAGAAAATGTCATTGGATTTCATAAATAAAGAGGGGAAATAATTAATTGACATTGATTTCGACTACTAAAATGATTAGTCTTAGAGTTAATGAGTTTCATTTAATGAAAATAGTTTCACTTAAGTGTTTTTTACCTTTAAAATATATATAATAGATCTGATAACTAGTAGTTTTTTTTTTTATTTTGGATTGATTTCTTGGTTATTTGAGATCATATATGGTTTTATTAAGGTGTTTTCTAGATATTTTTGATAAAAACTAATTTTAATATTATTATTATTATTATTTAATTAAGGGAAAACCCAACCTTTGATTTAAAAAAAAAATTAAGAGAGCACACATTTTAATTTTAGGAAAAAAGGTGTGGCTCACGTGTCTTACTTGTTTTTTATTTTTATTTTTAACCTCTTAAACTTAAAAATTAATATACATCATATTTTAGGTTTTTTATTTTTTAAAGGTCTCTCTTAGAAGATACATTAACAATGTCAAGACTTTTTTTATATATACTTGAGAAAAAGATTAATTTAACCCTTTTTTTTCCTGGTTTTTTGGTGATTATTCAATTCATTAAAAACATAACATTATTTCAATACAATCAAATTTATTATTTATTTAACTTTTAATTTAATCTTTAATTATCAAAGATAACTTTTATTTATATTTATTATCACAATTAATTTTTAATTATAAATTATAAATTATTTTTTGTGAAAAAAACACGTAACACTTGAATATAAAGACGTCCTGCCCGCAGCTAGGCACGAGCTAGATAGCTGGCATCAACTAATCAAAACAGAGGAGCCGCTGTATCAGCCTATCGAACTAGTTCAATTCAGCTTCAACAGCAGCTGTCATGGTTTTGATTGTTCAAATGCGATGTCAAAATTGGTATCCTTCGCGTCGCATGCCATCCTTGCGCATTTTAGCCATTCGTAACAAAAGAGATATGAGCCAGTGGGACCTCTTCCTGTTCCCAGTTCGGCAATTTTAACTGGCCCGGCCCGGCCCGGCAGCCACTGATGGGAACGCAGCGGCACATGCTAGATAGCTGGTACAGCTTTGTTGCTTAAAAAACAAAAACGTCACGAGACACCTTACCCATCGTCGAATCCCATTTTATTTGGCATTTTCTTTTCCACTATTATTTCAGTCTCAGAGAGGGCTCGCAATTCTAGATATTGTAATCTCCTAAAATATTACAGTGGGCCCCATCCCAGATCCCTCCTCTAGTCCGCCACCTCAGTTTTGGAGCTACTTGGCTTTAAAGCTGGAAGATGATGGGACATGGGCATATCACGACAACCTTCTGAAAACAATCACCTTTTACTAAGTGCCACGCGGTCGGTGGTTGGGAAATTGGCTCAATCTCCCGAGCTCAAGTCACCACGCAGGAGCTTGAATTTAAAACAATACGACTCATTCAAGGAGAAGGAGATGACCCTAGATGATCCATGTCCTTCTGTGTTTAAAAATGCCTATCAGGGAAAAAGATGATGACCCTTCACAAGCACCATCACCTTTCCACCTGCAAGGGCAAGAAAATAAGATTGATACATTACTTAATAATACAAGAAAAGTGAAAATGGTCCTAATTTGACTTCATCCCTTGTTCTTTGCATTTGGGACATAAGGAGACTTTTCAACCATTACGGCAAGCAACGGCAAGCAACTTCCTTTCAGGAATTTATCAATACAAAGTACTGGTTAATCAGGATTCAAAAATGATGGCCACGGGAGAAAACCAACCACAAAGTTGAAATTTAACGCTTCAGCAGTTCTCAAAATAAATCACACGACATTGTCAAATTACAGTAATCGAATCCAACTTCCAAAGTCTATTGACTTGAAATGTAATAATGAAATGGGAAACCGAAAGTACTACTTTTATATGGAAAAAGCTCCTGAGAATGCTTCTCCCACACCGAGGCTTTAAGCATGTTCAGCTGGGTTGTACTCCATTCCCATCTCAGATAAACAACCATTCCTACGAGCAGCAAAAATGAGAGGAGGCAATTATCGATGAAACTCATAATAGAGTAAAACAATAACTTGTAGAGATGAAAAATAGAGATTAAACTCACTAACATGTAGCCTTATTATTTACAAAACCTAGCAAGCACAGAAAAGCTGGCTCAATAAACTCCCCCAACCATGGAGGGGAAGTCTTCGAAGCTCCACAAGTCCACTGCGTTTGTGCCATCCTGAGTTGTGTCTCCATTAAGGAAGCTATCAAGAGAAGCCTCCCAGTTACCCACAAGATCTGGCATCTGAAGGTTCATCAACTGATTATCAAAAGCCAGCAACTCTTCGGACAGAGATTTTCCATTCTTCTCTTCAACAGGCGCTGTATTCTCAGAGAATGATTCCAACTCCTTAGGATTAGCATCCACAAAGACGGATTCATCAACTTCTGGAGTTGCTGCAAGAACAGACAAGATTTCAGGACCTTGTTCTCCCCACCCAAAGTCACAATCAAATGAGTTGCTCTCCTTGTCAGAATTGAAATACATAGAAGCATTGTCAGGAGTTAAGGGCGTCACCCCAGAATCTCCACTGGCCGGGAAAGAATTCATTATTCCAAACTGGCTCACTTGTGGTTTCTCTTCCACAAAGCCCATATTATTATAATCCGTTTCTGAGTTGCTCAAGTAACTAAAATCCTGGCTTAAATTTGCCTTTGTAAGTCGTTTCTGTGAGTTTTCCTTAATTGGATGCTTTGCTGAAGCGCATGGAGCTTCATCGGGGAAGTTCACCTTAGCTTTCTTGCCACGAATTCTACGTGCCTCAGAATCATATGCTCTAGCAGCTTCTTCTGCAGTATTGAATGTTCCCAACCAGACACGTACCCCTTTCCTGGGATCACGAATCTCAGCAGCCCATTTGCCCCATGGACGCTGCCTAATTCCTCTAAACTGGTTCTTTCTCTTCCTCTTTGCTGATTTTTCAGCAAGTCCACTGGATCCAGCAGATTTAACAGCAGTAGAACCTTCAATAACAACCAAAAAAAAATAAAATAAGGAAACATATTAAGCACACCGGCACAGCTCCTTTAGGTGCGTGCTGCTGCATGAGCAAAGACTATAAAGATATCAAAAGGGAGAAACAACACTCATGAGGCAGAAAGCAGACAACGAGAAGAACAACTTTGGCTTCAAATAGATAAGAAGATCCAATTTTACTTGCGTTGAATCACTAAAAGAAATCGAGATTTGAAGCAAAATGTTCCTAACCTGGAGTTATATTGCAATTCAATAATTATTTACTACATAGAGCTTATTGTCTGACAAGATAGTAATTTATCAATTTTGATTTTCTCAAATTTAGACTAAAAGAGAAACCCCATCAAATCTGCGTTTAATTTATTTAACACCAACATCATGTAACCAAAGAACCCCCAATAAAACTAGCTATTAACACCTCAGATAATAGCAGGAGATCATCACCAGAAGCATTTTACACAGATCTCTTCTGCTAGAGCAGAGATTTTAACAGCTAATGATTTGAAGAATCCATAAAGTTTAGATCTAACTGGTTTTACAAGTCCTATCTTTTTGCTAGATAATAATAATAATAGTAATAATTAAAAAAAAATGTACCCAAAATAATTCAGTACACCTTATACAACCAATTTAGTCCAAAAATATACTTCAACCAAACCAGCATCAAAAATCAGAAATCCACGGATATGAGAGGATTTTGCTCCCCATCTCAAAAGGTTTAAACTTCACAGCTTTGAATTCTCACCATTCATCACTTATTTTCCTTCCACTTGCGAGGAAATCTAACAATCAAAAAGGAGCAATGGACAAACTAAACAATAAAGCTTGATGAAAAATGATGGTTCCACGAATCGAAGTCCTAGATTTAATAACACATAGGCAATCGAAAAATAACAACAATAATATCAAAATATAATAATAGCCCAACACCAAATAAATAAATAAGAAAAAACAACCTTTAATATACAAAACATTCCTCATCATAGCAGATATTTACAAGATCTGCATCATGAACGTATAAGCTTTGTAAGAAAAATGAACACAAATCTAATCCCGCAAAAATGATCAGTGAACAAGCACACACAGCAAGAAATTTATCTCATCAATATGATCAGAAACAAAAACCCACAAGCCACCTCAATAAACTATGATCAACATAACCTACCATATATTCCATCAAGTTCAAAATTACCAAAAATCAAGACACAAAATCAGTTTTTTTAAAGCAAGCAAGAAACTTGAAAGAAAAAAAGCCATATAAACTTTAGCAAAGCCTACTCTCAATACTGTAGCATCGATCTCCCAGAAACTTGATTCAAAAAAATCACTAAAACCCATTTCTAAGCTACAATCAGCTAACCCATAACCGTAATAATTAAGCAAGAAAAATTAAGACAAACAGACAAAAGAAAAGGCATTATTACCACGAGGGAGCCCACGTTTTTTAGCAGGTTCAGAAGCACTAGCAGAGAAAGCAAAAGGCTTGGCATCAGCAAAGACATCATAATCCTCGTCGGCATCAGACTCATCCTTAAACTCTTGAAAATCAGCCTCAAAATCATCTTCGGGATCAGCAACAACTGGCTTCAAGTGCTTGTTGTTGAAGGGTTTCTTCAGCCCAAGCCACTCAAAGCCCGAGGTCAACCGCCGAGAAGATCGAGCGGTGGTTGTCGGAGCGATGAAGTCTGAGATGATAGCACCGCCACACATGTTGATTGATGGTGATTATACAAGTGGGTTGCTTCACGGGGGTGTAATTGAAAAGATTTTTGAGAGAGAGTGGTTGGATGGTGATTTTCCTTTTTCTTCCAAGAGAGAATAATTTGTAAGTAGCGATTGTTAGGATTTAGGTAGGGAGATGGTTGGAGGGGTTGTTTAATAGGTGGGGGAGGAAAGGACTCTGGGGGGTGGATGTGAAATTACTATTTTAGCCTTTTTCGTTGACAAGTTGATGAGATTCTGGTTGCCACATTCATCTTTTTATTTGAGGTTGAATTTTACCTTTGTAAAAAAGGAAGGGTTATTAGGCATTACATTTTAACAGTCGAATTTTATTTTTTTTATTTTTTATTTTATTTTTTATCATTTTATATACTGATTTAAAATATAATTTTAAAAATAATAAAATATTATTTTAATATATTTTTAAATAAAAAACTATAAAGAAAACCATTTTTATCTCAAACAAGTCTAAAGTTAGATTACTTTTCTTTTTTATATTCATATTTAATATTTTCAAGTTATGTTATGTATTAGTTAAGATTAATTTTTTTGAGTTATTTTATAATATATTTTACATGAATTTGTTGCATTTAGAATAATTTAATGATTTTCTTAAAATATTAACCTCGAATTTAAATAGAAAGTTAAATATAATTTCTTAATCATTTGATCAATTCTTTAAAATTATTCTTTATATAGTATTCATTAAAAAAAAAAAACATTATCATTATCTACGTTGTAATTACATAACATACCATGGTTGAGGTACATGAGATGTGTACTTGTGTGCACTCCCCACGCACATGGTCGACATTTATATACAGAATGAGGTCATTGCGTATGCTATTTGCTTCTCTTTCCTTGACTCTTGTCGGAATGCTCTGAAACTTCTATCTTCAAATTTATTTTATTTTATTTTTCATTCTTATATTATTGTGTATTTGAACTATGACATGGTGAGGATGAAGGATTATATCATGGGTATCTTAAGTTCCATGTATTAATTACTTGACATATTTATTAATATGCGCAACTTTTTTTTTCTTATTCGGTTTTATTAAATAGTTTTTGTTTGTATTTTACTTTCACAATATATAATATATCATAAATGTATTGAATTTCATGTGAATAATATATTAGAAGAGCATATTATGTGCATTCAAAATTATTGAAATTCTAATTCACATTCATATGCGATGAACTCCTACCATCTTGTTTGATGGAGTTTTTATTGAACCAAAACCACATAAACCCATTCTTTTTTTCTTTTCTTTTTTTTGTTTTTTAAACCCATTCTTTGTAGGACAAATCTATAAATTTGTTTTTTATATTCTAAACTTATTTGAAAACATGGCTGGTTTTGTATTTTTAAAAAATATATAATTTTTTATTTAAAATTAATTTTTTAATTTTTAGATTGTTTTTATATAACGATATCAAGATTACATTTAAAAAAATTATTTAAAAGTATTTTCAAATAAAAACTATTTTAAAAAATAATTACTATCATAATATTAAACACGTTTTCTTTAAAAAATTATTGGATTTTAAAATTAATAACATAAATCTTGAGTGTTTTATGCTTCAGAAGTATTTTTTTGTCACTATTTTATGATGAAAATGTCTTCAAAGAAATATAATTGTAAAATTAGTTTGGAAAATAATTATATCTTAATATAATTGTAAAATTAGTTTGGAAAATAACTATATCTTAAGAGAGAGAGAGAGAGAGAGAAAACTTAAAAGAATTTTTTTAAAAGAAAGAAATTGTGAAAAAACCTTAAAATGTGAAAAAAAAAACATTTTTAGTATTTCATAGGGGGTTTTTTACGTTTGAATTTTCTAAGGTTTGTTCAATTTGTTTCTTTTCTATTGTTTTTGGATTTTTTAATTTTTTTAATTTTTCCTTTTAGGTTTTTAAACTTTTTCTTTAAGATAAGAAAACTATACGAGATGAGCTATTAGGGTGGTCACAAATTAATGTATAAATTAGACACTTCTCTATTTCAAGTTTTCCTTCTGTATAATTTCCTCTATATCAGGTATTATATTCATGCTTAGATGGGAGAATAGACAAAAATCATATATATAACTTTCTCTGTATAATTTAATTTCCTCAATATCAGCTATTAAATTCATGATTCCATGGAAGATTAGACAAAAATCATAGATATCCACATTGATGTACTATAATTTCATTGTATATGGCTTGAGTCAATTAATTAGTGATAACAAAAGAGACCGAATATTACAAAAGAAAACCTAACATTGTTTATACTAAATGTCATACTTGCGTGTTACTGCAGGTTTGTGATATATTTGTATATTATTGTGAATTTTTAAAAAAAATCATAATAAAAAAATTCTAAAACCAATTTAATATTAAAAAATTAAGAATATTATAATCCACAGTGTTTTTTTAAAAAAACTATAAAACTAAACTTTCAACTAACTCAATATTAAAAAAAATAAAATTAGCAAAGATAATTTAAAAAAAAATCATAACAAAAAAAAATGAAAGAAAAAAAACCATATAGAGAAATATCGTAACAATCTACAGTGTTTCTAGATAAAATCTACAATTGTAATTCTCAACCAACTTAATATTAAAAAAAAAATTCAACCAAGATAATTTTAAAAAATCATAACAAAAAAAAATCATATAGGAAAAGACTATAGCAATCCACAATATTTTAAATAAAAAATACAAAGCTAAATTATCAACTAACTCAATATGAAAAAAATCAACAAAGATAATTTTGGAAAAAATCATATAAAAATAGAAGATAATTTTGAAAAAAATCATATAAAAATAGAAAAAAAATGATAAAAAAGAAGAAAAAACAAAAAAAAAATTATGTAGAGAAACACCATAGCAATCCATAATGTTTTGTGAGTAAAACCTATAGTTGTAAATCTCAACTAGCTCAATATTAAAAAAAAATAGACATATAATTTTAGAAAAAAATCATAAAAAAAAACATATGATGAAACACTGCAGAATCCATATTTTTTTAAAGAAAAAATACAAAACTAAATCCTCACTAGTTCAATATTAAAAAAACAAAAAAAAATAAAAAAATAAAAAAAATGAGAAAAGTTAAAGTTAAATTCTCAATTAGATCACTATTAAAAAAATTAATTCAATAAGAATAATTTTGAAAAAAAAAACAAGAATATTCGGAAACACTATAACAAATAAAATCCATGTGATGACACACTGTAGCAATTTACAGTATTTTAAAGAAAAAACTATAAAGTTATAAGTATTTTAAAAAAAAAACTATAAAGTTATATTCTCAACCAGCTCAATATGAAAAACAAAAAAAGATTTGATAAAAACCATTTTGGTAAAAAAAAAACCATTAAAAGAAAAAAGAAAAACCATGTGAGGAAATATTATAACAATCCACAATATTTTAAAGAAAAAAACTATAAAGCTAAATTTTCAACTAGTTTAATATTAAAAGAAATCAACCAAAATAATTTAAAAACAATTTCAACTAGTTTAATATTAAAAAAAATCAACCAAAATAATTTAAAAAAAATAAAAGAATAAAACGTACATAAAAAGCTACAGTGCTTTCCCATGTGCTTAAAAGTATTAGGAAAAATAGATGTTTGAAGTGAAATATCACATTTAAAACATTTAGAATTTGATACAGGCATGCTCGAAGTAATTAAAAAAGTAGTTGAAATTAATTTTTTAAATATTTCAAAAGGGTCAGTCAAATGGGTTGAAAGAATTGAATGAACCGAAGCAAAGAAGCAGATCATGTATAGTGCTTGAAGATCATACAAGCACAAGAAGAAAGATCTAGCTATGAAACTTTACTGAATGATGTAGATAAAGAAGATGGGATGAATGGCAGTGGTCGTGCCTATGATAAGTGCTTAGCTGTGGCCAAATGAGCCATTTTTAGGAAACACAACAGAAAAATGCCATAAAAAACTTGGGAAAAGCAAGTGGAAAATGATCAAGAAATAAAGAATTTCATGTCTTAAGAAGAGTATTTTGGTACCTTAACAAAAATAAAGAAGAAAATAGAATTAAAATGTATGTATTATGTCTTATAAGAAAGGTTAACAAGCTTTTTAAATATTCTTAATTATAAAATTGAAAAAAATAAACCTTTAAATTTAGATATGTCATTTCATGACTAGTGCAATGGGATTTAAAAAAAAAATAAGTTGAATTGGGCTAATTTCAAAACTCTTGTAAAACAAATAATCATTTGGATATCCAAGAGGGTAATAATAAAAAATACATTGTAATTATTGGACATGGTTGTGTTTTTATGACCTTGCTCTCCATTATTATAACCTAGTGACCTAAGCTTTTTATACACTTTGGTTACATAAAGTTGCTTTTATAAAGAGTGGAGTTATAGTTATACCATACCGGTATAACAATGAAGAATAATTATTATTTTCTCTCCTTGTTTTTTCTCTATTATACATTGAATTGTAAGTTAATCTTTTACTATCGTGATTTCTTTTGCTAGCTAATCCATTCTTGGTGTTGGTCTATTTTTGCTGGTTGATCTCTTTTTTCTAAAAAAAAATAGGCTTTTTGCGCAACTTTCCTTTCCTTTCCTTTTGACTTTTTAATTTGTTTTTATTTTAGACCTTAGAGTTTGGTCTATTAAGTATTATTCTAAAAGGTGTGAGTTTTTCACTGTGCAAGGCTCTATTATTCATTTTGTCACACATTACTGTGAATGGGCTGAGTAAAGTTTTATATTTTTTCAATTTGGTCCTCAAACCTTTTTTTAGCGATTTAATCCTAATTGAAGACTAATTGATTTTGATTTCTTATGAAAATACGAGATTGAAAGAAGATGGACTGAAATAAAAGAGACATCAAACATGGATGACATGCCATAAGTTTCGAAACAGGAGCAGGATTGGTTGACTCAGCTTTGGACACTCTTTGAAAGAGTAAATGTGGGCAATAGAATATCAGTAGCTTTCTTGCTGGTGTGCTATCATGTATATAAAAAGTACAAATAGAGGGTAAAGAAAATAGATTTTGGGCCAACTAAAGTGGTAGAAGTAGGGGGTAAAGAAACTGGATTTTAGGCTAGCTAAAGGCCTTTCTCTCACCAGGCGAGAGGGTGGAGAAGTGACTTCAAGG